CCCTCCTCCCTAACTAATGTCCCCCTCCATCTTTTAACAGATACAAGAATATTTCAGACCAAACTTGTTGAAAGTCCACATGTACTAAAGTTTTGATTGATTTTCAACTTCTTGTTATCTTTGATAATTATTTTCCTGTTTCTTGAGCTGTTGTGACAAAAATCCATAAAGTTTATCTTTATCTTTACTAAGACTTGGAGATCTCACATGAAAAAAAAGTTCCAGTAAATCCCGCTAGAAATTCAGAAAACAACAAAATGTTCAGGTGGATTTTTTTCTTTTTTTTTTGTGCTCATCTTTGAATGATTTAACACTCCACGCTTATATAATCCTTTCTTTGAAAAATCATTTTGGAAACCCTTTAAACTTTGGATAATTGTGTCAAGATTCTCCAAAAAACTACTCAAAAAATAATTTAGTTTGCTACTTGTCTCTATTGTTACTCTAGTCATCATTCCTTCCATCTTTTAACAGATTCAAGAATATTTCAGACCAAACTTGTTGAAAGTCCATATGCGAGTCTCAGCTGCTCTCAGACATCATTATTACATTTACCTTCTGCAAATAAAGCCTCTAACCTCTCTCCACTCTTTCACCTCAGCTCTCCATCTCTTCCTCCGACCCTCCACCGCTCGCCCCTCCCCACCCTCTCTCTCTAATAGGTCTGGCATTCTCCGCACCATCCTCCCTCCTCGCTGTCTGCGTCCTGCCGTCCTTCTCTCTAACACGGTTGACATTCTTCTCCCGCTCCTGCCTCCGTCTCTCCCGGCTGACTCAGGCTAAAGTGCTGAACTGGAGGGCCCCCTCTTATGTGGGCAGCGAGAATTACGGCGCTCAGAGCCAAGGCCACATGTTAAGAGCGCTCTGAGCAGAGGAGAAGTGACAAGGTGGTCGAGTGTAGAGAGGAAGAGGAGGGTTTGATAAGGCAGACTGGAGATGACGACAGCAAGACATTTAGGTTGATTTACAACAAACGATGTCAACAGAACAGATCTTAATCTTAAGTGTCCATTCACAAAGGATTTCTAGGTCTCTGTACACAAGTTGAAAACCTTAAAAAAAAACCTGAAGATGGGAATTGATTGATTTTTATCTGTCATCTATACACATGTTCCAATATTTATTTTTTGCCTAATTTGCTATAAAAGTGTGTTGGATAGTTGTATTGTATACATAATTCACAGATTTTATAAATGTCCTTCTCCTGTTCACATTTCCGTCCTTTCTTCATGCTTTTATTCCTATTTTAGAAACGGCAACACCCCGACAATACCTCCTATAGATAAACAAAGTATTTCTGATTCTAGTTTATAATGAAGGAGAAGTTGTACAAAATATAAAAGATTTAAAAATTAGAGAATTAACATCTTGTTAAAAAAAAAAAAAACCCAGCTGCAAAAACTCAACACTAAGTGAAGAGTTGATGTTTGAACAGAAGCAGGATGAAGTAAACACTTTATTCACACATTCAGTTTACAACTACAATCCCTTTTTTTAAAGCGGGATATCTGTTCAGTGTCAAAAGCAAAGACTCATTTAGACAGCTGAAGTTATCTTTCATCAAAATGTGTTTCTTTGTACATTTCTTTAACACTGTTATGTTGAGATTTTCACACTGTAATAAAAATAATATTGATATTATATATTATATTGTGGATATTAATGATACTTTTTCATTATGAAGCATCAATAATGAGCCTTTAAAAATAATTGTATAGGTAAGTTTTGCTTTTGTTTGAATTGACATTTAAGGAAATTACGGGAGAGAAAACAAATGATGACATACAAGTCAATTCATCTGAGAGGTCACAATTGTACGCTTATTATTTTAAATGCCAAGGACTTTCTGGATTGCTATAATACATTTACCTTTATGGTGAAAAATGTTATAACTAGACTGAAAATGAAAATGACCATAGTTATGTCTTTTATCAAAGCAGAGCTGGTGCAATGGGATTAGTCATTCTTAACATGTTTTTTTACATCTTGCATTGTAATCCAGTGATCTCTCAGTAGTGTCATACAAACTTGTACAGTGAGTGTGGGGAACCTCACCCCCCCCTGTGCTATATGTATGTTTTTATATTTTAAATGAAGCCCAGACTGAAACTAAATTTAAATGTTTATTTCAACAATATAATGAAATAAAAAATGAAGAAACAATGTTCACAAAGCTTCACATGAGGCCATAAATTCAACATCAGCTACTTTGCTAATCCAGACAATCCAGACAGAAAATGCAAAAAACAAGAGGTTTACATTTTCAGACAAGTATTTTGTTTTTTTTGCCGATGATTTTGAGAATTAACGTCAAAGCACTGTGTCTGGTTTTAGCAGCTACATTCACTTTTCTAACCTTTCATTTTGATTGCTAAATAAACTGAAAACACAATCTGAAGCAGCTGTCCCATTCATTTAAATACTACGTTTTCATACTGCTGTTAGTGCTGTTTCTGCATCCTGTCCATTAGTGCACAGCCTTTCATAGGACTGCGCACTAAGTTTTTTAAGTACACACACACACACACACACACACACACAGCGAACACACACTCGCACACACACACTGTACTGTACATCAAAAAAACGCTGAACCGTAGGTCAAAGCCTGCTGGCTCTGCAATAGCGAAGCAACATGAGCTAAACACCCACAAAGCATCATGGGACCAGGATGATGTGGGTGTGTATTGATTTCTATGTGGGAGTGGGGCAGAAAGGGTGGAGCTAAAACTGGAGATGCAGTGGATGACAGATACCCATTAATGTGAAGAGTGATGTCTGAGTGGGCATGTGTGTGTGGGTGGAGGTGGAGCGGGATGGTTTACAACCGAGCTGAACAGAGCAGATAAAAAAAAGAGAACAGAGCAGAAAGAGGAGGAGTTAGAAGGTGGGGCCACACCTCCACCTCACCATGGAAACGGTTGCTTGGTACTGAATTTGTACATCAGCACCTTTAACCCATATTGATAAACGTGAGAAACAAGTGGGTCATATAAACATGACTGTGTGAAGAACACATCCTGAGTGGAGTATGTGTCACATTATCAATGACATAACAGTGAAGCTCTGAGAAAATGAAACATTAATCTCCAATATTAAGTTTCAGAGCAGCGCGGGGACATGGTCAATGAGATGTATCCTCATAGACAAAATCATTTCTCAGATCTGGTCTTATTTGTTCGGGGTGTGAAAACTGACGGCCCTGTCAAAATGTATTTAGGCTGTTATTAATTTCCTGTCATATTTGGTATTCTCTTGCAATGAAACAGGGTTTGATTTAGTCTGTATATCTGTGATGCAGAGAGCTCTCGAGGCTGGATGTCCTGACACCTACATTGGTGACAGTTACACCTGTTCCACTGCTCGTTATGGAAGATTTCTAATCGACCAATCACTTGGCAGATACTCCATGCAATTGTTTGCATTAAAATCTACCAACTCCACTGCATTGCCTGCTTAGTGTGGCAACAACATGTTTCTCTGCTTTTTGCATTACTCCAGCCTGTTGATGCTGATTGCCTAAATCTTTTCCACGTTGATACCTCATGTTTCAAACAATCTCCATTATTTTTATGATCGACAGTTTCAAAAAGTAACAAGGCTTTAAAAACATATATATATACAACATATTTGTCTAATTAAGACAGTGTGCAGGAGTTTGTGGAAATATGAATGCCTAGGACTTCTATTTTTGTTGCCGTGGTATCAAGCAGGTTACAATATTGTTTTACCAGGTAAGCTACACTTTTTGACATGTTTCTACCTCCAAGAAAGTGATCTCTATCGCTTCCCTGGGGGGAGTGGGGGGGGGGGGCATACCCAATCAGCACCAACAGGCTGCGGTTGTCTAGCTGCTGTAAACTACTCTCATCATCGGAGTTAAAAACAAGCAGAGTATATTATAATGTCAGATGTTATAGACAAGAGGCTGTATGTGTAGATTTGTAGTGAATAGTGAATTGTCCTGATTTTGTTATATTGTCTACATACTGTACGTCCTGTTTTGCTCTATTTTTATGTTTTCAATGTTTTTATGTCATTTTCAATCGGGTAAATTTTATTTGTGATAGTAAATATTCTTACTTTGTTATTTTTACTGTATTTTATTTGAACTTTGTTTAATCTCTTAAGGTGAGGTTTTGAGATAAGTCCCTACCTCACCAAACATGTGTTTTATTTTTTATTTGTTTTATTTTTCTGTTTGACTCTTCTTTCAAAAAATTGCAAATAAACTAAACTAAACTATGAAGGCCACAGCTGACATGTCTTTTGAGTATTGCATTGTTGTTTGTTTTTCTTTTGCTACATTCTCAAAACGATGGCAAAATCAACCTGTTGTTATGTATCAGTGGTTATGTGAGCATGGACACACATAACTGGAGTAAAAGCTGATCAGAACAAAACTGCTTCATGGAAACACGTCGTTCAGCAGAGAAAGATTTTTGGTTTAAGTTGTTGTTGTTTTTTCCGATCAATATATCATGCACACACTTGATCTGGTCGTGACTTCCTGGTTAGGGTAAAACTATTCTTACAGCGCACGTCTGCCTCTTGCCTCTGCACATACCTGCAGGTCGTCCTGCACACTCTCCCCCCTGTTTATCGATTGTGCATATAGATATAAAAAACACAGACATCTAAAGTCACAGACATGAGACAGCACAGTGCACAGTGAGGGGCCAGAGGAAGGAGCAAAGGACGGTCCAGTGCATCTGATGCTAAAGGAGATAATAAAGGAAGCAACGAAGCTCCTTTCTTATCATTTGGAGAATTCAAACAGCGAGAGAGGCAACTTAATTGGCTCTGAATGTAGCACAGGTGTACTGATCTACCAGTATATATCACACACAACCATCTCTTTGGGTTTTTAGAGTATGCGATGGAACTGCAGATTCTCATCATTTATGATCAACTGACAACCTTGCAGCAACTCTGTGCTTCTATTGGGTCAAATATGGAAGAAGGAAGTTCTATGTGCACCCATTGAAGTACTAACTCACCTGGCAGAAGACGGGTTTGTAGGTCTCAGAGAAGTACTGGGCCAGTTCTTCAGAGTCACAGAGGTCGAGCGGCAGCCGGTTCACACACAGACACTTGGAGTGAAGGTTCTCCTCTTGGCTCAGCTGGTTGACGTCCATCCACTGCACCATCAGCGAGCGATCGCCCTAAAACCATCATCAAAGCAAGATTCAGAATATCATTTGTGAAGACTGTGAACTGGCTTTACTCTCCTGCACTTCTCAAGTAACTTCTAAATAATGCATTTCTTAAAGATATAAATCTATATATGGAGATATAAGCTTTTCATCCTCAAGTGCTGATTTGATTTGTGTAAATCAGTGTAACTTCTTGTGATGAAAGATACAACAGAAAACTCAAAGTACTTGGTCTTATTTCAATTCTCTTCACCAGAATTTCCATTTTTAGACACTCCAAATCCATTATTACCCCTTTACCGTTTCTGAACATTATTTCCTTTTTAATATAGATGGAAATGGAAATAACAGGAGCAAAATGTACTCTTCAGCAATTCAGTTTACAGTTCTTGTTTCACGGCTGATCATGAAGCAAGGTTGGAAGAACCTTGAGGTTAAAGAAGGTAACATTGAGATATTTATCTGTTTAAACTCTAATTTTACACTTAACTTGAAACCAAACTCAACCTGCAGAACCATTCTTACTACTGATTTTCTGGTCCGGCCATTTTCTATTTGACTGATGACAAGTTTCATTAAAGTTTTCTAGAAGTAATAACTCAGGTTAAAGATAAGATTTAACGATTCAAATGCATTATTCCTTTTTTTACACCTGTTTTATGTTTCAATCTAAAAAAGGCCAGCCGGTCAAAGTTTTGTTTGGAGCTAAAAACTTAAATTTGATTACTATCAGAAAACTTTGAATAAAATGAGAACAAAATAAAATGTATGGAAATGAGATAAATGTCTTATCTTAAGCTGCTGCAGCTCAACCGATACAAGCTGAACCCAAAGACTGAATATAAAAAAAAATGAGCAGCTGCTGTAACATCACCAATTGGTTGATCAACCTCTTGTCTGAAGCCTCTAGTTAAGCATTTTGGCTGCTGTCGTTTTTCTTTTAACCACAGGTGACCACTGTGACCAACATGCTGTATTAGAGAAGAACAGAAACTAGTTGCTATGGCAATAACTTAATAAGAAAAATGTTTATTTTTTTATTATTTTTTTTTTTTTCTGTCTTTAATGGAGAGATAGGACGGTGGATAGAGTTGGAAATCAGGGAGAGAGAGAGAGTAGGGAATGACATGCAGGAAAGGAGCCACAGGCCGGATTTGAACCCGGGCCGCCCGCTTGGAGGACCACAGCCTCCATACACGGGGCGTGCGCTCTAACCACTGCGCAACCAGCGCCCCAAGAAAATAGTTAAATGAGGTAAAAAAACTGAACAATGGGTCATCGTCTTTATCTGGTTTCACCAAATCCAATGGTATTTGAAATCAGTGGTGTCTCCCCCTTCTGGCCACTTAAATAATGCAGTTTTTAAGACACTTCTGCATTAGCTTTACTGAGGAAGCCAGAGGCTACATCCTGTTCTTATGTACGGCATGTGGTTAATCCTGGGTTTCCATCGTTTATATTCATACTCTGCTAATCATGAACTGTAGAGTGAAACAATCGTTCCAACATCAATTCAGTTTTAAAGATAAAATAGCAAAAAAAAAAAATCAGATAATCAAACATGTTAGTACTATTTTAAAAACTGCTGTTACACACCATTGGTCGTCCCAGCAGCTCAGAGCGGGCCCGTGAAGCAGAGTCCTTCTTCATGTACTCGACAAACCCATATCCTTTGGAGTGTCCCGTCAGCTCGCTGTACACCAGGAAGGAGCGCTCGATGTTTCCGTAGGCGCGCACCAGCTCCTCGAACTGCTGGGCGGTGTAGGTGTGGGGCAGGTTGGTGAGGCAGAGCAGGGAGTCGGTGGGCTGCAGGGTGACGTTGATCAGGCGTCCGCGGACAGTGCTGTGATGGAGGGAGCGGATGGCATCCTGAGCCTGGTCCCCGTTCAGCAAAGTCACAAAGGCTGGAGGAGGGGACATTATGGAGACAGCGGACGAGAGGGGAAAAAGACGGACGAAGAGACGATGATGGACACACAAAAAGAAAGAGAGATGCACGGACATAAGTGGACGGGGGGGGGACGGGTGAAGGACATGAAAAAACACAAACATACATTTAAAGCAGACATTCAAAAAACAGGCAGAGAGAGCATGCAGTGTGTGGAGGATGCAGAAAGGAGACATGCAAAAAAACAAACCCACATGAAAAGCAAAGGAAATAAATGACGGGCCAAATGTGGCAGAGTGACGAAAATAAGAATAAGTAGAAAATAAAATTTAGGCACAAAAAAAATGACAGACAGACAGTCATAAAGACAGACAGACAGATACACAGAGAGAAAGACAACACATTAGCAAGAAAGCCAATAGGGAGCCACTAGGCAGGGGGAATCCACTGTGACACACACACTCTCACACACACACACCTTATCCCACTATAAAAAAACATCCTCACTGTGTGTGTATATCATTTAAACACAAGGCCTGACTGACACTTTGTTTCCTCTCGTTCCTTCTTGAGGATGATTTATCATCTTTTCTTTCAGATGAAAACGTCAGCTGTACGGGAAAGAACAATCCCATTTCATTTATGTTCAATAAAGCAACACAGGTTTGCTGTGTGGAGGATGTCAGGCTGCACACGGTGCTCACTTGGCTTTTTTTTTGCCTAAACATAAGGAAACCCCACTTTATAGAGAACAAACCATATGACGTGTTTTTGTAGGCCAACCAGGAAGTAGCATCTCCATGGGGGTCTAACCAGAATCCTCCTCTGGGATGTTTTCATTGGATTTTGGATCGCGTAGGCGTTTTGTTCAGCAGGATAATCTTCACAGATGAACGCCATTTTTATGATGTTTGAAGAGTTAATGGGCCGACGGAAGTAAAAAGCTAACGTTATGCTACAAGCTAACTACACCACGGTGGGATGATTGTGACGTCACTAGCGTTACTTAATAAATAGTTTACTAACATAATATTCACCTGAACCTAAAGATTAAACCTACAGGAGACATCTCTGACTAGTGAGAGAGTTCCCGCCCTCTGTGTCCGGCGTGATGACCTTTAATGTCCCCGACAACCACTGTAGTCACATTTAGCCGCTTGTTAGCAACGCCCAACGCCTTTTTAAAGACGAGTAAAAACTTCAAACTTCCCAAGTGGAGGTATTACCTAACGTAGTTTATGTGGTCTAACAAAACACCAACATCTCTTCAGCTTGTGTTAACCACAGACCTTATTTCAGGCGTCTAACCACAAACACATTCAAAATACCCGTTGACTTTTAGACGTTAGACCCCATGGCGCTCAAATGCTAACTTACTTCCGGGCTTTAGGACTCATTCCTGTGGCGCTCTATATCCTGTGACTCTATTAAGTAGGCTTTGATGTTTTTTTGTGTAATTACAAACCATATAGTGAATCTTTAACACAATTTTAAAGCTCCTGTGAGGATCTTTCAGTTAGGGTTGATTTTGGCGCCCCCTGTGGACAAACCGGTACCAGTCATCCTTTTTTGCTGATCTTGTCCTGTAGGCTCGATGTGTAAGTCTTATTTTCTTTAAAAAAAATGACTTTATCTTAAACATATCACTCACTGTGAATCTTTGCTGTGTTAAATGTATTAAAAGGATGTTTTTGGCATGCAGGGTCCTGTGACACCTAAACGTTTGCAACAATTGCATGCATAAAAAAACTATAGGGAAATATTAAAACTTCTACAAATGGTCCGATTTTCTTTTGAATGTCTTGAAATGGCATTAGTTTTGATTTCAGGCTGTTTCATGACCAGCTAACACTTCCTCACAGGAGCTTTAATAGGCATTTCTTCAAAGTCATGGTAGCTCAATGATGGATAAGAAAAACAAAATGCACATATAGGCCCATTAATGAAACCACAGCCAAACCTGAAAAAAAAACAGTTTATTGAAGCTTAATGTATAGAGCATTAGGAGGCTACAAAGCTTTAAAAAGCCAAGAGGCAATGGTGGTCAGGCCAAGGTACAATAACTCATATTCCAAAAGAGGACAAAGTGTCATCATCAGAGAGACATTTTCAACATGCTAAAAGCTGCGTCATCGTGTGTGTTTAAATTGTCTACTGCAGCTTTAAGAAAACCAAACGTGTGCGTGTGAAATATGAACATGACTCCAAGGAAACTAAAGAAAATACTGATTCAAATAAAAGGCTGTAGCCAAAACTAAAGCAGAGTCCAAGTTACAAAATAAAGAGACAACAGGATGTCAGCCCAGATGCATGATAACACTGACCTAACACATAATGTACACAGCGCTGAGGAGGAGAATAAACTTGACCACACAGTCCAATATATCACACTTCCAAAAGCAGAGGCAATATGCCATGTGAGCATAGCTGTGACTTTACTGAGGAGGGAGGAGAGGTCTGAGAATCAGGCAGGGAAATATGTGCAGGAAGGTAAATTAAACCTTCCATCACATCCCTAAACAAATTATGTTTGAACTGCAGAGCTTAGCCCGGAGTCTAGTGGAGCTGCTCGGAGCAGAATCAACAGAATCAAACTGAGATTGCATCGAGCAGCTCTTTGAGGTTTTGGCTGTTGAAATGGCCACGCTGAGAAAGAGAAAGGCAACAAAATAAACCTAACTCTACAGCACCTTGTGGCACCCTGAGTTCGAATAGAATTTGAATTGCAAACACCTAGCCATGCAAATGCAGCTAGAAACACACAGGTGGTTATGACCTTACTGTGGGGAAGGCCAATGACAAGCAAGCCAGCAAAAAAAAAAATGCAAATGCTATTTTCATACTGAACATCTTTTCAAGTCCAATATAAGAAAAGTGAAGCTAAAATATTAACTGAATTGTATCACTGATCATAAAAATGAAATAAAAAGCTCTAAAGATTCAACGTGCAGCGAGATGTTTACAACTTTAACTTTCCATGCCGAATACAATCTGATCGTGCAGGTGCAGCTGGAGCTCTGAGCGAGTCTGGTGGAGAAACAAAAGGTTGGCTTGGCTTGCATTCTGAGTGCATGACCAGCAGGAATACATCATTGTGCCTCAGGACAAACCCTGCAGTCATGCACCATGTGTAAGAAAACAACCCAGTGATTTGTGTTTTTTTTTTTTTTTTTTAATCAAAATTTCAACCTCACCAGCTGTTCTTGTGACTCTAAAGTCATGCACACGCTGTTCTTGAACGTGTTTCTAAAGAGTTTCATCACTGAATCTCCAAAACATTGAAAAAGGGGCTGCACGCACTAACACCATGGTTAAAACCAAAAGTCGATTTCAAGCCAACATCTTGCACAGAGACTATTCCTGTTGGTTTAAGATGTGCTTTCTGAAGAACTGCTTTTTATTCTTCACATACCTGCACAGTTCTATACGATACATTTGTATAATAAGTGATAAGCAGAGGCTTTTTTTCTGATGATGACCTGATTTCTGTCTTTCGATAACGCTCCATGTTGAAAGTGAAAGCCTAAAAAAATGGCAGCAGTTGAAGTCAAGTGTCCCTCCTAACTCTCGTCTTCCACTACAGATGATCAGACAGAGAAGCCACATCCACCTGAGGAATTTGAAAGTGCTTCACCTGAGGGGTTAACTTATAAGAAGGTAGCTGAAACACTGGTCGATGGTACAAGGAGCTTCTGAGAACACTCGACCTGGAAAAGCTAACATACACCTTTAGGGACAGTTATACGACGGATTTCTTTAAATATGGCAACCGGGTTTTGTAATGGTTGATCCCTCAGGACTGGACTTTGCTCTGCCTTGTTAAAAACACTGAAACTGACTTTTAGATTATATTATTAAGACATGCTGTAACGTCAAGACACACTTGGTGTGTATTTCTTGTGATGTTCATTATTTTTTTTAATAATCTATCTGTTTTTCTGTTCTCTTATCTCGGTTGTGAATGAGGGCTCTGCTGTGGTTGTTCTTTTGTGTGTGTTGTGTTGTGTAGGTTGTTCAAACATTATAATAACAACTGTTCTCCTGTAAACACTTGAAACTGCATAAAAATGTAAATGATGCTGGAACCTCAATAGAAAAAATTAAAAAAAGAAGGTCGCTGAAAGCAATGTTAAATCGGCCTGTTTTCTGTAGTTTCATAGTCAAAGACAAATCAGTATTTTGCACATTTTTTACTTTTTCATCAATATTAATTCAATTACCTGTAAACTTTTTCTTGAGTTAAACATGAGCTATACCGGTAGTGGCCTATCACAACTGTTTTTTTGGCCATGTATAGATCAATCTGTTAATAACTTTGAATAAAGCAGTTTCATGTTAAGCTTCAGTGTCTCTCTGACTCTGTTAGAAATGATAACAAAATGATTTGTATAAACAGGGAGACACATTTCTACGGTTGAAACAGAAATGTGAACAAACGTTACAAATCAATCTGCGTTTGTTTATGTTCTCCAAACATGATCTTCATTTCATCATGTTGCAAGTGTACAAGGGAAATGATTTATGTGTAAAATGGTTGTATTGGTCATTTTGAATGTTTTAAAAGATATTTGTGAGTGACGGCCAAAGAAAAGATGAACAGTATTGTCTTCCCTGGAGTGTTTTAACTTACAGCTGACCTCTTAAAGGGGCAGTGTTGTACCCTGCTGGGCCTCTGCAGCACATGAAGTGTTCATTATTGTAGGAAAGATTTGTGTTTGTGACTGTGGCACTGAGGAATATTGGGATTTAGATAAGGTTTAGGTAGCCATATCTACATTACACAAACATCACATGAGAACCACTATTAGTGAATAAAACCTTTCTTCATGCTGCTAACTCACTCTCCTTCAAACAAGAGAGAAATGAAGGGTTTGAATTGAGCAGAGAAAGCTTCAAAACATCAGGTCGCTTACAGCCTTAAGTTGAATAAATGGTGGATAAAAAGCAGCAAGACAGACGAGCAAAACCAAAAGGCAGAAAACGAGGAGATGATTCATGTTCTCTGGCCTCTTTAAA